AATCCTACTTTAGTCTGCCTTATTTAATGTCCAGCAGGCATATGAAAACATCCATGGCTTGGTTCAGGGACCCTCTAGTCCTTAAAGTGACATCTTGGCTCTATCAAACTTTAAAGTGGTCTTTGACTTCAGATTTACCCGTGTGATATGCCCCTTGACGGCTACATATTGATCCAAGTAAAAGGAAATCCTTGGCAACACCACTTTCCTTCATTTATTATGAGCTTACTTGCTGGTCCAGTTGTTGCGGTTTTTGCTTTTTACATGTGTCCTCTGCGCGCTGCAGGATGGGAATGCGTCTTCCTCCCGTCCTGATGCTGTGTTCTTCGTCATAGAATCCAGCTTCTCAGACGACGTGCTTAACATCCATTTTGAATAAGTATGTTGAAACGGTACAACCTTGATGCAAACCTTTCCTGATTTTAAATTACCCTGCATTCCCTTGTTCTGCTTGAACCGACTCTAACTCTCTGGATAAGCTCCTCTGGAGCACAATTGAGTGTTAGGCAGTGGATGTTCTTCTCCATATTGTCCACATCTGTCATGATCCACACAGCGAAATGCAGAATCTACCAATATTAGCCCTTAGGAATAAGTCACCTTGTAAATTTGTGCCTCTGAATTAACTCTTTCGTGTTCGGCCAACTGCTTAATGTCTCCATTAACAATTTCAGCACTTCATTTATGAGAACAGCACCTGATTTATAGAAACAAAACCTTGTGGCCTCAGAAGGCTGCCTTTCAGAGTTCATGTTTGGTGAAACTGTGTATCAGTTAAAAGAAGTGACAAAGAGTCAGCTGCATCATTAATCACACGTAGGTACATTGGTAATATTTTAAATTTCATTACTAATTAAGAACATATATTGAAATTTTTTTTTTTGAGAAGGAACTTGACATTGTGAAAAGAAATAAAATGTTGAAGAGCAGGAGGAAATGAGTTGTGGGCACTTTGCTAAATCTCACTTAACAACTTTTAGAATAATGAAATCAAATTACAGAATTTTAGACCCTGAAATAATTTTAACACCTACAACTTCACAGATTGACTCAATTCAGTTCGTTCAATTAAGGTGTAAATAGTTGAAGACTTTACTTCTTAATTGAAAGACCTGGCCATTGATTCCACTTTCTAACCTCATCTCAATTCTGGATGTCATTTTTCCGAGTTGGCACCTTGAAGGCATTTACATTCCTGTTTAGGTGGTAAATGTCATTTAGAAACAATCTAATCAAATGCCACAGCGTTGTATCTGCTAAATTATACAGCAAGGTTATTTCTTAAAAATGTAACCCTTCTAAGAAGTGTTTGATGGCATCTGAAAGCCTGGAAAGGACCTGGCTTGAAACGACATAGCCATCAGGTACAGAGTCAAAGCACACATTCCAGGTACCCCTTACTAAACGCGGGTTTTTAGAGAAACCGGGAAGGAAGAGGGAAATATAAACCAGGGTTTGAACAAAAGCTACAGGGAAAGCCTGTCGCTAGGAGGTCAGATGCCAGGGATTCTGACACGGCTCAATCACACAAAGGAACTAAGCACTGCAGTTTTCCTAGGAAAATGACAATGTAACGGATGTAGAAATAGGGGGGCGGGGGGCTTGCATTTTCACATACTTATAGTTAGTGGTTATGGAAAAAGAATATAGGAAGCAAACAGTTTTTAGGGCATTTGCTCAATAAATTTGTGACTGCAGAAGGCCTGTACTGTGGGCCAGCGACACTGTGAAGTTGTTTAGGGCTTAGCATCCATATCAAAGTAAATGGATTCACCTCCCACCTCTGCCACGCAGTAACTGGGTCACCGAAACGTCCTCTGCCCCACTTTCCTCATTTGTACAATTGCAATAATAACAGAACCGAGGCATGGGCTGGTGTGTGAATTAAATATAAAGCTGTTTTTTGAATGACTATAAACACATGGTTGAGAACATTCCTTGAGTTAGTTCGGAAGTAATTAACTTCTTCTTCTTGTCTTTTCCATATAAATAAAGGATAGGTAAACTCTGATTACAATGATACACTACTTATAATTTACGATGACAAGCATTCAACCAACCTATTTCAGGTGGAGTGAATTGGATCTTCTCCGTGTTTTGTTTTTCAGTCATTTACAAAAGCCCAAAGCTGCTCTATTTTGCTCTGGGGGGTTGCATTAATGACACAGGAACCCTTTTGATTTTACTCTTTGTTTCCAGCTTCTTTTCTCCAAAATGTTCACCTTGCTTAATTTTTCATTCACACCTAACATCTAATTAAACTTCGCCAATCAAAAACAGTGTGTATTTTGAAACTTGAGAAGGTTGACCCGGATGAAATCTAAATATACCAAGAAGCTCGGCGCACAGCTGAAGATTCCTCAAGAGGGGTTAGCAGACTGTGGCTCCGTCCGGGTCCCCTGACTGAGAAACCCTGTTGCGGGACTTTGGTGTCCAGCTGCTGAGAAGTTACTTTACGCTTTTCTATCGAAGGTGTAGGAAATTCTCTTAAAAAGAGGGTGCATAATCCTGTTGACGATGGATGCCACTAAGAAAATCAATTGCTTTAATACATAGAAATCATTTTTTAAAACTCAGGCTGGAGCAATTCAATACTTGATCCATGTGGTATAACATTGGATCAATTTGAAGATGTTTTCCATGGGTCCATAATAGGACAAATTAAATGTCTTTGAGAATATCCAGTAAACAATCAAATCAAGAAATAACAGGGATACAATTTTATGACAGTGTATAATAATTCACAAAAATTATTTTTACATTTAAAAAAAGTCATTCCTGGTAAATATTAGAAAGTACTTATATTCTATTACTCTTTAATTATTACTTCAATCTTGCAAGAATGCTCAAATGGAGGAATAACACATTTTGAAACTTTGTTCTCAAAATGCTTAATTACAGCTAGGTTTAAACGTGCAATCTCTGCTGCAGAGTGATAAAATAATAAGCACCGAAAACATGCCATGTTTATGTATTTGCTGTAAAAACCAATACATGATTTTCTTACATTTTGAAGAAATAATTGATCTTAATTCTGGTCAGGTTGGTCTGTCACAAGTGCATGTGAGTGCTTTCAGAAAATGCTTTTCACAATAAAAAAGTTCACAGTTGAATGCTTATTGACATATTTCGAAGTTTTACTGTGATATTTTATAATTTTGCCAAATGCTTGTTGCCTGTAAATAACATTAATATTATCTGAATGTCCAGCTATAGACTGGTTTCAGTTTGCCAGAGCAAAGATTTTACAAATCTACGTTAAAATATTGAGCTTTATTTAAATGGTTTTCCTCTATCATAAGTAATCCTAACGCACTATTTTGACAGAATCTTCAAATTGTATGATTTCTTATTGCTACATTAAATTAAGCTAAGAATTTTCCTTGGATAATTATCAATTTCTAGAACTTTGTATCTCAAAGTGAATTTCTTGAGATATTAGGCTCGTAAGATGCTACTTATAAAACTACTTTATGATTAGTAATGGAGAAATGTCAGATATTAACTCCTTACCACAATCTAGAAGATTCTTCGAGAATTTGCCTAAGCATTGCTCACACTATACTTCTAAGACTGAAACGACACCTGTCAATTAGTAACATTCCACAGAAGTAACTCACTGAAGGAACTAATGTGATTGGTTTTGACCGCTCCTTCAGTGAAGAAACTTCTGGAGTTTTCTTTGACTCAAACTCTCTCACACTGATTTGAATCCCAGTGATCTGGAATATTTTCAAATAGCATGATAGAATATTTTAGGCATAAGGGGGAAAAAAGAGAAGACAACAAACATACAGGTAACTGCCAACAGCTTAAGAATGAAGTGTAACTGACAAGGAGGGAAGGGCTCTTCACTCACAGAAAATGGTACCCTGACGACTTCCGTTCACACCACACATACCAACGTCCTGGGCTCTGGGACTTGTAAGTCCCTTCAGACTGATAAGGTTCCTTCAAGCTCTAAGCTTTAACTCATTGCTTGCAAATATGTGTTTTAAAAATGGTAGCCTCTAACGTGATAGATTTACCACATTAATACAATAATGAGCTGAAAAATGAAAGAAAAAGACGAATACCCCATGAAAGGCAAAAAGAAAGCCACTCAACAGGATACAAGGCAAAGGGCACGTGGTATTTATTAAGGGGACGAGGAGCTTTTGTTTTCACATGAATTACTTAAGTTTTGCTGAATCATTTAGGAACTATTCTCCTCAACTGGAGGGATGAGTATTCGAGAAACCTCTCATGGTATATATGTTTGGATTTTGACTTACTCAAGGAATCACCCGTGGCTGCAAAATAAAGATCCATATCACAGGGTGCTCTCCTTGACATAATCGATGGCCCTACCATGATGAGGGCCCCTTCCTGAGCTGAATAAATAATACTAATGAAAATCTCTGATCAAGCATATTATGATAGACAGGGACTGAGGAGTGTAACAGTTTATAAGGAAAAGCACTGCTTTTAAAATTTAGACAACATCTTTCATGGCATGTTCTAGTTGTTAGTTTTATAAAATATTTACTCCTCAAAATTTCAAATACGATGATAGATATTTCAACATTAAATTGGAAAAAAATGTCTTTCTAACTGGATGTTGTTTTGAGTACTTTTGTACGTTGCTTCACTTAAGAGAGACAAGGCTCTAGTATAATGTAGCTTCAGACTTACTACTCCACTTCTTCAATTTTATGTATACAGGATGTTGAGCAATGAATCAACTTAGTGAATAAGACAGTCCAATACTCATAACTGTAGATAACACACATAAAATTAAAACCAGGGCTAGAACAAAAAGCAATAAATCGCAATATGTGTGGGCGGATGTGTGGTGATGGGGCGTCCTGCAGTTTTATAGGCTAAACACAAGGGCTAGAGTTTCATTCAGCTTTTGAAGATATCTCACTCATCTCTTCAAGATAACCCACCGAATTCTTCCTCTGCTAAATAGCAACAAGTAGTGAAATAGCCCTTGAAAATTTAACAAAAGAAAAATGTCAAGTCCTACCTCCATTATCTTTTAGATGTAGTGCAATCTTGGTATCATCTGGAAGAAAAATTCAAAGTTATTAAGCAAAAAGAAAATAAACATGCACACATCCTGCTACCAGTATTATGGCCTTATCTACTATATGATGTATTATAAGCATGTGTACCAGGATTTTAAGATTAAGGCTTTAAAATGTACACAGTATTACATGACTCTTAAAATCCGTGATAAAAAGTAAACAATTACAATTTAAAATATACTTATTTTTAAATTTCAAAAAAAACTTATTGTAATTCGACCTTCCTTGGAGGTCCTTATGACCTTATTTGTTTATTCTAAAAATCAAGGCCAAGAAGATGTCAAACTAATCAGGATAGTAAGAACTTGTCAGTATTTACAAAGTGAACATGAAAAGCGATATGCCTATGTTCAATATGGCCAAAGTCACACATGAAAATTGTTTGCCCCTCCCGAATGAAATGTCCATTCTACTTCTTATTTAAGTGGTTCCATCTCATCCTAAAGATTAAGATCAAAATTACAGAAATATGTTCACAGGCATTAGCATAACAATCTATAGCAATATGAGTTCAATATAGTGTTGTTTTCAAAAGCCACAAAATACATCTAGTAGCTACCCTCTAATTTAGCTTCCAATAATCAGTTACACTTCAATGAAAAACAGTATTTCATAAATTTAGTTTCTTATGCTAATGAAACAAGATTTACAACGTTAAATAAGGAAGGTCACATTACACCCCCCACTTAAAGGCTCACTCTCAGAAAACCAGTCTCTTATTTTGCCCACTCCTGGAAGTGACCCCAAGAGAACAGAGTAGAAAGCTCACCCATGTTGGTTAATGTCACACCTACGACTTGTCCCCTGGCATTAAGGTTTGGTAGTATTTCTGCTTTTTCTAGAAGAGCAACTGTTTTTCAAGGAACATTCCTGTGACAGACACCGTTCTCTTACACGGATTCTGAACTGGCATATTTATTGCCTCTCTTCAGGAAAATATTAGACCAAGAGATCTGTAGAAGTATTTACTGCTTACGATGCAAAATCAAGGGGCATTCAGTGCCTATTGCCTTTCAATCTCTGTAACTGAAATGTTGGACTTGGTTACTGTGAAGCTCAGCAACACGGAGAGAAGTCTGTATTTAATCACTAGGGAGGACAAGGAGCCAGACCTGCTTTTCAAAAGAACGTCTTAGTAACAGACAAAGTATATTCAAAGAAGCCCAGCACATAGTATAATTTTGACTTTTCCTCTTAAGACATGCTTTCGAACCTTTGATGTACAAGTCATCCAATGATAACTTTTGCTTTAGAGAGTGAATGTGGTACATGTCACCACAGTGAAATCTCCCCCACTCCCCACCCCCCAAATCACACAGAACCCAGATCTCTCCAGTGCACCTTCTGTGGGCAGGCTGGTCGGCATCTGTGATGTGGAGGCTCTTCTGGTGGTGGTTAAGACCCTGAACTGCGTGGTCGCTGCACTGAACGCCTTAGATTGAGAAGAAGTTTCCACCGGCTCTGTGTCCTCACACATCTTCTCTTTTGACTAGTAAGAGAGACGGTGAGCAGAACAATTTAAGAATGATCACTTATATGTATTAATAATAAAAAAAACCCCAAAGAAGTTGGGCTGTAAATTACAAACAAATCTCTGAACAAGATTGAGTAAATAATCTTTATCCTTTTGTCCTGGATTAGAGGTATCGATTTTACTAATGTACCAAGTACCTATAATAGTCGAGGGGAAATTAGGATGTAAGTAAATTACTTCCAGTTTTAGATACTTAGATTTCACCCTTTCCCGCTCTTAATCCTTCATGTTAGTGCTTATCTTGCCCTAAATTTTATATCAAATTTTTACAAAAGCCATGGGTTCAAAAGAAAAATGTTCAGGCTCGACTAAAAATATGGGCATGAAGATACGGTTTAAATCGTGTTAGGTCCTGAGAAGAAACAGTTCACTCTTATCACACCACATGGATAATGCTAAATTCTAAAAATCTTGTAGCTGCTCTGTGATATGTCATTGTTTCCAAAATCGGTCAATGGAGCATTTAAACTTTGATGAATATTTAAAACCTTAGACGGCAAGGGTTGCACAGCCCGCATGTAATCACACAGCGTATGGCTGAGAAAGCCCTTCTGAGGACACCGGGGAAAGCACGAATCCTATTTCATTTACACACAGCACTCTAGAAGACTCCAACCCTCACCAGTCCAAAGGGTCCCTATCTCCCTGGTAGACTGGGGAAGACAACTACGTATTCTTCACACGTACGGTACTCCTGCCACCTGCCAAAATCGTTTCTTAAATAAATACCTTTCTCACACTTGTCACTAGTGAAGGGTTATACGCCATTTTACTGGTTCAGGAAGAGTTCCTGAAGCTATTTTGTTTTTACTAGTTGGTTACACTATAAATATATTCTTTATAAAATGTATTTTAATCATTTTATTGGGGGCTCATACAACTCTTATCACAATCCATACATCAATTGAATCAGGCATGTTTGTACATATGTTGCCACCATTCTTTTCTAGACATTCACTTTCTATGGAGCCCTGGGCATCAGCTCTTGACATCCTAACAATTTCGGGGCCCGTTCAATCATCAAACTTGAATTTCTGCCACTCTTTAGCCCTGACTCCATTTCACTCACTATTACCACACATCATGGATGTAGCTTCAGTTGCAAATGCCCTCAATCGGAAATTCTAAATTCATTGACTCTGTTTCCATGTTTGTACAATTCTCAATTATTAAAAATTTAAGTGTGTATGACTGATCTCTCATTGATGTTTTGTTACAGCTGACCACCTTCTTACTTTGGCTTCTCTGACGCACACTCATCATTTTCGTGATACCTCTCTTAAAAGTCTCCACTTTCTTTCCTTAGTCTGTCAAGTGTTGGTGGCTCTTCTAGTCCTTTTTTGATCTTTATTCAAAATATGCATTATTGCTAACCAATCTTCTCCACATCCACAATTTCAATCAAATATTTATGCTCATGGATCCTACATCTCTATCTGTGGTCTAAACGCTTTAAATTTCAGGTTCAAACATACACTTGTCATATGTCATTGATATCAACCTCTCAAACTCCAAATGCAAACCCTCTATCACTGAGTTGATCTTGACTTGTAGCGACACCATAGGGTGGAGTTGAACCGCCCCTGTGGCTTTCTGAGACTGCGCATCTCAATGGAGCAGACACCTTCATCTTCCTCCCGTGGAGAGGTTGGAGGGCCTGTACCATTATTTTATAGTTGTCAGCCCAAAGTTTACCTCATTTCACCTTAATTATAAAATTGTATATAGTATATGTACTGGCCATACAGCATCTACAAGTGTGCTCCTCCTATGTGAATATTCTCAGTGAATAATCTTCTCGAATACCCTGACCCTTAAGGTAAAGTATTGGAGTTTATCGTCTTAGGGCAGTGAAGGTAGCCTAGAGATTCTGTTGGGCCTTTCTGGTACCAAACAATGCGATCTTGACAACAAAAGGAGTAAAATCTCAGAAAAACCCAAAGGGTGGTTTGCATCTTTTCTTCCAACAAAACCACACTCAGCGCACGTGTGCTTCAAGGAGAGCTAGAGCAGCACATAGTAGGCCAAGTGGAAGTAGGGTTTGCCCTGAGATCAAATGCCACACTGGACCCGCACAAGAAGACAGGTCTATGATAGCCCTGGGACCCTTAAGGTCCTATCGCCTGAAGCATCAACCGTCTAAGTCCTACAGATGACTCTGGAATAAGACCAAACAAACATGCTCTTCTCATTAATGGATACTGATAGAAACGCAAAACCAAGAAGAGCACGCTAACCAACATTTTTATTAAAAGGGAATATAAAACATGATTAAGCCATCTAAGAACTTACATTGGAATCATCCAATCAAGAATGCATAAAAATAATATAGCAAATATTTAAAGGTGTGAGGTTAGGATTTACAAATTAATTAACACGATATGTCTATAAAATGACTTGACAGGTTTAATGAAGTATCAGATTTAAATTTTATACCTCGACAATATATTTGTGAAAAATTTATCTCAGTGGATGAGCTAAATGGCTATGCAAACAAAATTAGGCAGAAGCAATTAATAAATCTGTAAACTAATTCTTAGAACACAACAGAAGATATAGTATATGAAAAAGAGGTTAAGCAGTCAGTGAGAAAACAAGAAAGTCAAGCTTATCTTCCAGAGTCCAGAGGGAAATAAAAAGGAGAAGGGGAGGTAATATTAAAAAAAAAAAAGATAAGGGGGAGGTAATATTAAAGAAGCAATAGCTAAGAAGCATACAATCGGAAAAATGAATGAATCAAAAGATATACAAAACAAATCATGTTTATCTAACCTATGGAATGGAAAAAGAAAAAATAGATATTTAAACCAAGTTTAGAGAAATTGCATGGAATTAAAGAAAAGGGGAAGTAAGCCAAAGGAAAAGAATAAATAACATAGAAAACAAATAATTAAGAATAGATTTCCAAATAACAATAGGGATGGTCAGAAAAGATTAGAGTAAGATATTCAAGTGCTCAATTACATATAAACTATCAAACTAGAATTCTTTCCCATAAAACTAGGCTTTAAACCTGAGAATGAAATAAAAATGTATTCAATAAAAAACTGAAAAAACTCACTACAATGGCATCCACTAGAGAAGTTTGTGTAAGCGATCTTGAACCAAAGCATATAATCCCTGAAAGAAGTTCTGAGATGTAAGAAAGAATGGTGAGTCTCAAAAATACAAAAAAAATTTTCAGCCAAAAAAACAACACTGTCTCTAAAAACAATAAAATCATGACTGTTTCGCGTATGACATTAAAAAAGGAGTAGAGCTAGAATATGAGAGGGCAGTAACAGAGAGCACACAGAGCTGGGTTCTAGGGTTCTCAGGGTCTCGCTTGACTCAGAAAGGAAAGTAGGCACTGGTTGTTTTAGACGTTGTTAAATTATGTATGCATAAAAGTTATGTATGCATAGTAAAATATAAAGGACAGTCACAACGTGTGCTACTTTAGAGATAATAGAAGATAATTAAGGGAATAGAGAAATAAAAATAACAAATGTAACGCAAACTCACTTAATATCAACTGACTTACAAAAACAGAAAAAGGAGAAGAAAATATATCAGAAAAGCACAAAGAAGCAGCATATATGAAGGTGATAAGCATAAGTATAAACAGCTTACTTACACATAAATGAAGAAATTATGAATTTTAACATAGTCACCAGTTTGAATAATACACCAAA